AAATTACTGAGTACATGTACATAAAATAACACATCTTGTTCCGTTTTACTATTTTTATTTACATTTTTATGTTAAATTGAACAAATTGTACGTTTTAGCACCAATTTTGATACTTTTAGCTGTTGTCGTATAATTATTTAGCTATTATTCATTTAAGGTTTAGTTACAGTTTCATAAGTCTTTTTAACCAGTAAATTTGCTTTAGCTGTTTTAGCTGATATTTACCTGGTTTTAGCATTTAGTTTGTTTTAACAATTTTAGCCTCTATGTACGTATGGTTTGTTATATTTAGCTTTACGCTACTGTTTAGTCATGTTTTGCAACAATTTTACCAAATTTATTGAAGTTTTATGTAGAATTTTGCTCATTTTATTTTTAGCATTTTTATCGTAAAGATTTAGCTGCTCTTTAGTCAATTTTAGCTTTTGTTGTTTTATGTTTGTTTTGTTTTCCCAATTTTTGTTTCTACCTACAGAAGATGTATTTTTACTTTTAGTACCTGATGTATATTTCTCCTTTACTAAGAACTTAACTTTTAGCTGCCGTTTGCTAATTTTAGCTACTTTTTTAGAACTTCTWGCTGTAGTTTACAGTTTATTTGATTGTATATTTTAGCTGTGGTTTTAACACTAAATTGTGGCTATAATTGTATAAATTTAATTTTTATTTGTTTTGATTTGTTCAGTTTACACAGTTAGCATTAGGCTGTAATTTAGCAGAAAATGCTAATTTATGAATTTTAAACTCTTTTAACTTAATATGTTGGTAAAGTCTCCATGTAAACAAGTTTTTCTAACATTTAAAACATTTATTTACAGATAATTAGCGCTCAGAAAGAGGCAGTTTTTCCGTAAACAAACATTTTTAGCGGACTTCCGGACCCACCGAACAGGCTGTTGCTGAAGCCGTCCCACGCGCACGTCGCGCGGCTCCACGTCCAGCGGCCTCTGACGCACGAGGCGAAGGTGAAGTTGACCCCGATGATGGAGACCAGGAAGTCGCTCAGGCTGATGTTGACCAGCAGCAGGTTCGTCGGGGTCCGGAGCCTCTTGAACCTGCAGTACAGAACCAGAACCAGCGCGTTGTTCCAGAACCCGAACACCCCGATGGTTCCGATGGTGAGAGCCAGAAGTTTGTAGGTTCCGACGGTGAAGACATGCTGCTGCTCCGCCGCCGCCGGACCTCTGTCGGTTCTGGTGTCGTTGGCCGGATTCATGGCGCGGGCACAAACTCCGGGTCCGGTACCGGGTCCTGCATGCTGCGRGGCGCGCGACTCATTCAAACCAGCACCGCAGCTCGCGGAGAACTGGGTCAGTAGACCGGCGTCAAGTCCACCGGAACACAGAGGAGCCACTTCCGCTCATCTCCTTCAAAATAAAAGACACATAAGGTTTATGTTTGTTAGCAAAATATCTCACAAACCCTTTGACAGATGTTAATGAAACTCACAGTAATTAATCAATGGATGAACATCTACAAGTGTTTAACTTTTAGAGTCAAATGGATTTAAGATGGYCGCCACAGCTGCTTGGATTCAAAAAATGCAAAATTATTTTTAACTCACTAATTTTAACAGATATTAAGCTGAAATTTAGTGTGTTTGTAGCTGAGACTGATCCCAGTATATGTTCTGAGCAACAACAGAATGCTTAAGATCGTTGCTTATTTTTTTATTTCCAATTTGAAGTTCACTTTGTTTGTTAGCAAAATATCTCCTGAACCACAGGATAGGTTTTGATTAAACCTTCAAACAGTAATTACTGTGTGTAAATCTACAACTGGTTTAAACTTGGTTCAAGATGGCCGCCTCAGCCAATTGGACTTAGAAAACAAACGCAGTTGTTGGTCAGCCTGTTTTAGATTTTGACTTAAAATGAAAAACTATCCTTTTTTAAATAGAAAATGATCTGTTATGAGGGGCAGTGGCTGATATGAAAAAATGCTGGGCTTTATTTTTTTATTAATTTTTTTTGATTGATTGATACTTTATGTATTTCATTAAATAACAAAATAACTCTATACAATAGAAAACAAAGAAAATACATTACACAAATCAAAAATCAAACTAAAATCAAAGGTAGCAGAAGAAGACTAAATCTTATGTCTGCCCCTTTTCACAGTATCTCTGTTTTTACAGGTTAATGCTGAACGTGCATTGCTATCGGAGGCTTTTATTTTGAAATCAAAWCCTCACCGTAACATCCGGTGTTTGACATGAATCTAGGTGAAATAACTTTAACCCTGACAGGCTGTAGATGTAGTTTAAAGGTCTCTTCAGTTGCAACTCATTTAAAATCCAGTCAAATTATATCTGATAAAATCTCCTTAAAGGGATATTTTCAAACTTCTTAAACATGAAATTATCGTTTTGTAATAAAAGGTCAGTTTGGAGRAATAAACTTCACGTGACATTTCAAACATTTTCTCTCACATCCTCCTTTTGTCCACAGAGAAATGACAAYGAGAGGAAATTTAATTTGTTTGCTTTTGACCTGGATCCTCTGCTSCAACCTTCAGGTTGGTTCAAAATAACATTTTTCTCTCAAAGAACACAGAAAACTGGTTAATAAAATGTCAAACAACTCTTTGATCTCCTCGTTGTTCTGTTTGAAAATGTGAAAAGTCCTTCACTGCTGTGATATTTTACTGACAGGCCTGTGGAGCAGAATCTCGTTAGTGTAATTGCTGATTAATTGAGGTGTCCCTCGTTAGCAGGACCACTAATGATCGTCCTGACAGTCGGTTCTGTTTGAATGAAACATGTTTCCTGTGTGAGCTGCAGGCCGGAGCTCCACATTTATCTGCATCCKTTTGTATTTTCTGATTCCCTGAAGCTGCTGCGCTTCTCTGAGGAACACCAGCTGAGCTGCAGAGTCGTAACAAACCGAGTTGTTGGTGAAAAGAACCGTTTTATCACTTTTATCAAGCTGCAGAACTTCTCTGGAGCTCTGAGCAAAACAACATGAAGATAAACGTTAAAAACGAGTGCTGAACAATGGAAATATTTGCTAAAATAACACCAATAATTASATGTAAGCAATGGTGTAAGCAGCTAATTTCCTGATTAGTGCTTTAGGGCTTTTGCTAATTTCTTAATTCATTAGTGCATTAGCACTTGCTAAATTTATAACCACTAATTGACATATTCTGCACACAGAAAATATTCTCATGTTGACTCTGTGGAATGTTCCATAGGTCAGCTGGGGTTTTAGTGCTTTAGAATTAGGGGACCTAAATATTAAAGTTAGTGCTTTAGAATTAGGGGACCTAAATATTAAAGT